ACTTCTCCTTGCTGGCATATCACCTGAAATTGTAGCCGCAACAGGCAGTTGGACTTCTCTCGCCTTCTTACTTTACTGGCGTCGTATGGAAGAGATTCTTCCTATGAGTACATCAAAAGCATACAACAAGTCCCACCTTGACTCGTTGGCCGCAATCTTCGAACAGTTTCGTATTAACAATAAAATCCCTTCGGCGCTCATTGTCGCCTCTAACGGGAACCTCGTTCTGTAATCTACCTGTATTTATATCGCTTCACAAAAAATTATCTTAAAACTCCTCTCATGTACTTGCATTTTAATTCACGAAATTTCTCTCCCAGAGTGCCGCGTGATTGGGTAGTTCCTCTGTGCTGAACCAACTTGCTTGTTGTGAGCTTCCACTCTGGTTGGTATAGCTAGTTGTTTTGCACACAATCAAGCTTTCAGACACTCAGGTCTTGCCCATCTTTTGGATCTTACCATTATTATTTAAGATCCAATTTGAGCCAGCTGGGCAAGTCCTAGGCACACACAGGTTATCCGTGTCTACGGATTTCTTGCATTTAAATATCTGTTGTATTTAAATACTTCCCTCCTTCCTACATCTCACAAAACGCTAGAGTTATCTCATCCACTTTTCAGTTTAAAATTTGCAGATGTTTGTCCCAGCTCATGTGATCCGTTCTTCAGTGAGTCTCCTTTCACACATGTTTCAGTCTCCTTTGCTGTCAGTTCATCAGGGTGGACTGTGATCGACGGTTGTGACTTCATAATGATACCAATTCATTCGCAACAGGGATGTGGAGGGCGAAGGGATAGGTATGGATTCGGAGTTGTAGAGGGGTCAAATTTGACGACAAAAGGTGCGATCATCTGCCTTTTGGCCAAGACGTCTCCCATGAGGCTCAATGAGTGTATCTCTTAGATACTCAACTCACCTGAGCCTGCTGCAAAATTCTTGTCAGCAACGAAATCCACGAAAAGGCTGCAGTCTCAGCTGGCAAGGCTCCATCTTGACCCACAATGGCTGCTTGTCTGGCATGAAGCTGTTCAACAATTTGGTCTCTCCCACATCGTGCAGCCTTGTGCATCCATGTTCCTCCATGCCACCCCATCGCCTACCAACTACGGCATATACCCCTATCACCCTTGCCATTGGCATTCTCTTCGCATCCTCTTCGCCCCTAACCCCACCCTCAAACGTTCAATGCCCATCCCCGCCAAATCTCTCCAACAAAGTTGACAGCTCATGCAGCTGCCCACACCTGTTATGCTGAACACGTGCAGCTACAAAGCTCTCAGTCGACCACAGCACGGTTAATGGAAGACACATGTATCTCAATGGAGTTCACTCCACTGCCAACGCCAACCTGCCCAGCCAGTTCGACGCCCAAGCCATGGATGCTTGCAGCGTCAACGTCGTTTACAATGGCATGACGACCTACAAGATGTAAGTCCTCGTAAACAAATCAAGATAGAAAGGAACTGACCTGTGCCGGACGTCGAGCACGTCAAACTCTTGCTCCAACATGTCCGACCATTCCACCATACCCTGCACCCTTCCTAGCTCAATGACGATGTATTGTCGTCCGCAGAACGAATCCCTAAGCTCGTCGTCAAGATTTCCAACAGTTCCACCCCTCCTGGCCCCAAGCCAACATATCGTCTTCCGCAAATCGATCCCATGCCACCCTCCAGCCCTTCCACCATGTCATGGGTCTTCGAGACGACGTATTGTCATCTGCTACACACGCTGTCAACGTTTGGATGATGTTGGATGATGTTGTAGTGGTGAAAGCTTGAGAAAGATGAATGAAAAGGTATGTTGAGTCTTTCCAGAGGCTGTAAACACAATTACTTTCCTTGGCTTAGATAGCTGATACCTATGTCAGCTGCTCCAACACCATCTGTATTGCCGTCTTTGTTGCTCTTGTCAGACATGTTGTCCTCGTCATCGCCGCCATCCCAGGCATCATTGAGAAATCAAGTACCATCGGTGCAGTTGCCGTTGCCCTTATTGTTATGGGCTTGGGAACGGGTTTGTTCAAGGCCAATGTAACTACTAACTCCCCTTGTTGCGGAGCAGTATAAACGCACAAAGCTCTTCGTCATCCTGCCTGAACGGCGGGCGTGTCATTGTGGATCCTGCATTGACGGTGTCTCGTGTGTACATTGTACACTAGACGTTTCAACAGAATCGGGCAATACACTGACCCCTTCTAGTACTTTTACATGTTTATCAATGTCAGCGCCAACGGCAGCCATAAAAATCAGAGAAACAGCCACATCTAAAAGAGCTAGAGAAGGTCCACAAGTACCCTTACCTCCTACACGGAAACCCAAACACACTGCTGAGCCAGACGTACAACATTACCTGTTAAGAAAAGAAGTACCTCCAAAACCTATACCTAGTCGACCTGCGAAAGCTGTTCGTCAATCTGAACCAAAATCTTCGAACTCAAAAGCCAGAAGAAACCCAATAATCATGCCTGACCCATCAAGTTCAAGCATAGAAGAACCGGCCCCTACAGGTCGGTCTTCACACAGAACCATGCCATTACCCGGTAATAAGGGAGCCCCGTTCTTCGATAAAGAGAAACCAATTGAGCTTCTACGTTTCTTAGACCAAATGGAAGATCTTTTCGCAGAATATGGTATTAATAGTGACATGGAGAAAAAGAAGAAATTAGGAAAATATACGGATCAACGGACTGAATTCGAATGGAAAGCATTTAAAACATTCGAAGACGGCTCCTTTGACGAGTTTAAAAAGGCTCTAATAGCAGATTACCCTGATGCGCGAAATGCA